AAAGAGGTGCGGACTTTGGGATTCGAGGATTGGGGCTTTAAGGTTCAGGGTTTAGGCCCTTTAGGCCTCAGCTCTGATCGCAATCTTAGCCTCGTTGTTCTGGCAAACACAAAACATGCAGAGGTTAGCTGTTGCCCTATATGGGTCCTTGTCTTCTGGAGTTCTCAAGTCTCACATGCCCGAGTCTGCGACATGCTGCCACTGTGCCCTGCCTCTGTGGCCAGCGCATCGGGCCTCAAAGTGACGAGGATGTGCTGCTGAATTCGTCACTACCATGGCAAACATGTCTACCAGCATTTACGTCAATTCAGGTATTGCCGCCTTTGATACGATGGTCACGTGCACCAGTGCCACCAGCACCACTACCCCTACTACGTCGTCGTTGTAGTAGTGGCAATAGGAAGAGTAAACGCGTGACGCTATAAAAGTACAAGAAGCAAAAGTAGAAGTAGAGGAAGACCACGACGAGGGCTGCTGCTGCTGCTGCTGCTGCTGCTGCTGCTGCCACCGCCCAAGGTCTATCCAAGGCAGCATTGCAGAAAGTATTCGCGTAGGCCAATAGCATTTCAACTTCGAGGATGGAGGAGGCAGAGAGAGGTTGGCTCCAAGCCGACAGAGAGCATACTCATGTAACCGCATGTTAAACTTTGTACACATCACGGTCATGACCGCAGCCACGCAATCATACTCACCATCACGATGGTTGTATATAGAACTAACCGTGGCATTCACTCTGATGGCAGTAACGAAATTAGCAGAATATGGACGGGAAGTTCAAGCTGAACATCATAACAGGAAGCTAGGAAACAAGGCAAATAATTGTAAACACGAGAACAACGCCACCAAATGAAAGAAAGCAATCGCAGAAGCTTGAAAAAGGAAACTCGGACTAGATGCTCATTCTGACATCGATGATAGGTTTGGCATTGTTTCGAAGACACCACCATCGATGATTCATTCCCACTCTCCAACAACTGTGCAGCTCCGCCCCGCTCCGCCGATATTGGGATGCAGGCGCGACAGCTTTGCTGGCTCGCGACGCGATCTGCCTGGCAGCAGAAGCGGAGGCCCCCATTCGATGCCTTCCACTACCAGCACGTCACTGCACAACTGAATCTACACAGAGAGAGAGAGAGAGAGAATGCGTGTTGTGTGTGTGTGTTGTGCTGGTGTTATGTGAGAATTTGCACTGCGCTATGATAACAGAATATCTTGAGCTTGCCCTTTAGATCAGACCAGAAAGTCGCGTTTGATAAAACTGCTTCCCGGAGATCCATTCGTGTGATGACAAAACCTTGGCTAGAGAGCCGTCGTCCCCACAATGCCTCCCACTTCTCGGACCTCGATGCATCCGACAGTCGGGCAGACTGCAAGTAACAACATGCAGAAGAGTTTCATAGTATTCTGTCGCCTGATGTAGTATATCATACTACAATATACTATATAGCATACCAAAAGTCTACACTACAAGCCCTTTCCCCCTAGCCTCGAAGAGCTTGAAGCGCGAGAGCTGCGGTCTTGTAAGCCTGGGATGGGCAATGGAACAGAGTCTGCAGGACCTGCTGAAGCCCCAAACCCTGAACTTTCAAACTCGCGAAACTCCCAAACAAACCCTACCCCAAACCCTGAACCCTGAACCCCCCCAAATATTCGAGGTTCGGCCCTGTCCAGCAATTCTAAAGCGCTAAGCTTCGAGCCCGAGCTCACGAAAGACCTCAGCCTCGGTAGACAGGCTTAGGGCGTTTCTTTTTGGTGGGTTCCTCGGTGCTTTGGAGAGGTTTGCAGAGGTTGACCAGAATAGACAGTTTTAAATGGGAAGTTGAAAAGCTTGAGGGTTTCAAAATTCAGGGGTTCAAGGGGTTCCGGGTTTGGGACTCAATTGACTGAGAGAGGACTTCGGGGTTTCAGGGTTCACGGCAGAAGGGTGTAGTTTAGGCTCTAGGGCATATAAGGATATATAAGGGTTATAGGTTGATAGCTCAGGTGAGGAGATTCTTGGAATGACTGTTTCCATGAGCTTACACATGAATTTAGACCAGACTAGAAGAAGGCCATGTACATGATACCAGGTCTCACCACATCACACCTGGTGTTGTTGGATGAACATGGCTTGGTTCCGCGTTCACAGATTGGTTCTCTGGTTCGATCTGTTCTTCAAACGGGACGCACTACAGCCCAAAGGCAGTGCTGAACTCGGAAGAAAGGCTTGTACTATCATCAAAAACCGCTGCAGTCATGCGAATGAAAGCTCCCTCTTTGGCACTGAGCAGACAGAAGCCTCACTGCCGAAACGCCGAACCCTAAACAGCCAAATCCCACTCACAAGTGTTGAAACAGACGTGCTAAAACCACAATTAGTTCCTAGGTTCTTGCTTCATTCTGCTCCCCACGCCGACGTAGCTTCGATCCGCGTGCATGCCAAGTAGAGGTAGCCCGGGCCACGACCCATTGGAAGCAAGAAGAGTCAGAGCGGCCTGGGATCTGCTGGCTTCCGATTTCGGGTGGAAGGTTTAGGGCCTTGAGGGCCTCTAGGGCCTTTAGGGCCTTTAGGGCCTTTAGGGTTGAAGGTTTAGGGCCTTTAGGGTTTAGGGTTTGGGGTTGAAGGTTTAGGGTGTGCGGGGAAATAACGCATAGGCGACAGCGTCTTGTGACAAGGCCATGTCGAGTGCATGGTGCAATGGCGATGGGCTGTCAGAGCCCTGTGCAGAAGGTTCCTCTCCGAGCGCATGCCATCTTCCAAGGCGACCCAACGGAAAAAACGGCACAGTGCTACTGTTTGGCCTCATCTCAGGGTAGTGGCTTCATTTAGGGACCAGTACTGGTCGGGAGAGCATGCCTTTGAGTTTAGGGCTTCGCGGACAAAAGCATTTACGCTTGGCAGTGCAACAGCCTACGTAGTCAACTGCAGCTGCCAGCAAGGCATCGGGCGGCAGTTCACCTATCTTCTGAGCTGCGCGCGGCAAGCCAGACTGCCGACCATCGGCGCGTCATCACCTGAGCGGCAAGCTTTAAGCCTGAATGGCTTCTGAGCTCTTCGCGGCTTCAAGCCGTGATTCAATAAATGCTGCAACGCACGCGTCGGTGATCCCGATCCCTCATGCTGCCTGCTGCTTAAGGCTCCATGCACGCGAACATGTCGGTGGCACGGGTGACACCCGGACCAGACGGAAAGAGTCCATCGCATCTTCCGAAGTGCTCATGTTGGGAAACCGTGGCGCCTTGGACGTGGGCACAGCCATTGGCAGACTCCACGGAAGAACCCACGGTTCGAGTACGTGACTCAACTCAGCTTAGCTACCCTAAACCCTAAACCCTAGGGTGCTGTCAAAGCTCAGACGTTAGCTCGCTTGACAGTAGTGGTGCGTCTAGGAAACTGGAAGTCTTTCCGAGCTGTGACTGGGAGCCCAAAGGGTGATGTAACAAGATGCAGCAAGGTCGAAATCCCGTTCCAAGGACACTCTGAGCGATTCAGGTTCCAAAGCCCCTGACTTGAGCTGCTGAGCTCCATCCAAGAGACCTTTTATCGAATCGCCCGCTCTCGCATTTGCGAGGGGTTCTTAAATCCGCAGATTCCGCAGCTCTCTATCGGGCAGCTTCGCCCCAGCAGCTCGCGCCCAAGAAGGCCCAGCTCTAGGTCAGTCCACGTTATGAGGACGCCTATAACGACTAACACACATAAGACTTGCAAGGGCAGGCTTCTGTGGTTTTTCAGAAATCATGCCTCCCCACAAGCCTGGAAAAAAAAATGCCAGAATCATCTGCTTTGGTTGAAGCACAAGAAATACATCAGCTCGTACAACACCTGACACTCTGCTCGTGCAGGAAGTCCAGCAGATGTGACAGCACGCTACCAAAACACGCTTTAAGTCATGTCTTTTGACGAGACTTGACAAAATTAAAAGCCCGTGCTCAGTGCAGGTCCTCCAGGCCCTAAAGAAGGTCATCCACCTGCAGTAAGGATGGCAGCCTTAGCCTCCTAAACCCTAAACCCTAAACCCTGGACTCTAGACTAAACCCTAAACCCTAAACCGCCATCCAGGCGGCCTCCGACGAGCCTTCGTGCAGAGCTATGAAGGAAAGACACAGGCACATGCTGCTGACAGCCGGACATGCCTAGATGCAAGAGTGTATGCATACACACACGATTGATGTGCACATGTCTACACAGATACTCATACCTGACCTGCGCTAAAACACACGCATGCCTGTACCGTATAGATGGATAGATAGATAGATAGATAAATAGATAGATAGATTCAGCAGACAGGCAGACAAACAGAAGATGGATAGACAGAAAGCCAGAGAGAAGGAGATAGACAGCGAGAGAGAGAGAGAGAGAGAGAACGAGAGAGAGAGAACGAGAGAGAGCGAGTGAGAGAAAAAAGAATAGACAAAAGGCAGATGGTATTGTAGACAGATCGACAGATACAAGCACAGCAGCATAGGTATGAGTGTTTGCATATATAGATACACACACACACATATACATATACATATACATATACATATACATATACATATACATATACATATACATATATATATATGTACATATCCCTTGCAACTCTAGTCTCAATTAATTACTGCAAAAGCAGCTGCAGTCCGAGATCGTTCTTGTCTATCTTTTGTGATTGCTCGGCTTCGGTCCTGTAGACTAAGACAGTCTTCATTGCATTCATGGCTCGCTACGTCTCTGGCCTGCTATGGCTGCACCTAAAATCCCCTGGGGTTCTCTTGAGAGAAATGCCTCTGGAGCCGAACACATGGAGAGAGACCCAGGGGGTGTTTGGGAAGGAGGTCGTTAACCGAGAGATCAAGGGCTCCATTTCTACAGGCTCTTTTGAAGGATCCCAGCACTTAGGGTCTTAAATGCTCGAGCTCCTGATGAGCCCTGAGACTTGAAGAAGTTTCTGAGAGAACAAGCCTCGTAGCCGGCAAGTCCTAAACTTCCCCAGAGCCCGGGTTTTGCAGTTGCGAGTCAGCGGCACTGGCAGAAGGCTCTAGCAGCAGGACTGGAAGATGTCCTGGCAGAGGAATTCAAGTCTTCCCGATGAGCGGAATGTAGGAGGAATACGTTAAGAGCCTTGTGTTTACTCTTTGCGCCACCAAGCGGCTTGAGTCGCTTGAGGCTCCTACTTAACTGCCTTTCCGAAGCTAAACTCTACCGGGCCTCCCTCGGAAACTGAGGGCTTCTTCTCCGGCCTTCACGTGCGTGAAGCTCTTGTCGTTGTCGCAATACTGCATGCACGCGTGCTTGCCCCCGTCAGTGGTGGCCTCGGTCTAATTGGACCCGATAGCTGAGGTCTCGCCATGAGAGAGCCGAAACTTGCATCCTGGCTGCGAGCACGCTGTGGCACAAACGCTGGCAGAAATGTACCCTGTGACCTGCAGCAAGGGGTCAGCACAAGCGCCGGCTGGTGCAGAACATCTGTTGCTTGCATTTCTGTGCTAAACATACCAAAAGATATTAGAATATGCTGGAAGGCCCTGGAGCATGCCACGCTGAGAGATTAACGACTGAGATCTCCTGACGAGGCGCTGCAGTCCAAAACGGTATTGTTTGCCGCCAGAGTAACCTCATGCTGGCTGGAGATTGGAAGACGGGTCAACATTGGACATCATTCGTCAACATCAACCACAAACGCATCAGCCGCATCAGCGTCGAGCCGCCATCATCATGATCCACACTGCAAGCGTCATGGCATCTCTGCGGCGGAGCTTGTATCAACAGGCTTGATCGACAGCAAATATGTGCAACTTAGCGACGCCATCGCCGCTGCGCCGCTGCAACATCCCGACTTCGTCGCTTTCGGAGCCTGGCAGAAAGCACTGCACCGTCGTCACATACACCGCCCAATTGCTAGTGCCGTGGCTGCTGTCTCTGACGTACCTAGTGTTCTTGCTTCACTAGAACCTTCCGAACATGCCAGATCCGGCAACGAAAAGCCAAGGAACGCTGGAGCAGGGATGCATCTTCGCAGATGTGGTCCTCGCAATACTCGTCCTTCTCCTGATGCACGTCAGACAACCCCTTTGCAGATGAAACCCAACTTTGAACCAGATGTGAATCACCACCTGGCATTTGTCTTGAATATGTGACTGCTAACAACACACTAGCCCCAGCAACCCGGAAGAAAGCCGTAGAATCCCAATAGCCCTAAAAGCCCCGAGTGACCCCAATGCTCCAGGATCCCTCTCAACCCTGGTAACCTTGGTGCTCCTACGGCTGATGATATAAATCCTGCTGCATTACCTTAAGGACCCGAAACTATGGGAATTATGGTATGTTCCTCATTATGGGTAATGCAGGATTTTTTAGATCATCAACCGTAGTATCCGTAAGAGAGCCCGTCACCTTAAAGGGAGCCCTTGAATCTTCCGCTTTTTTGCGGCGGGCTCCTGCATGACAGCCTCGGCATCCCATGTGCAGTGCTCCGCATCCGGAGTCAGTTCGTGGCAAAGCTCTTGTCCCAGCCTTTTGGCGACGAGGGGGCTTCAAGCAAAGTTGACATACTTCGCCTTCTGTCTTTGCCAGTGTTGTTATGGAGGCTTCTTCATACAGTTTTCTGCTTTGGGGATGCTTCCGGCATTTATCCGGGTGTTCCTCTTTTTGGGGGCTTCTGGATTTAGACGTGCAGTGGTCTCGTCAGAGTAAGTAGAGTAGAGTATGACATACATCCTTGATGTGGTAGAGAGTCCCACAAACCTTACACTACGCAGACAGACATCTTGTCACTCTGATAGCATAAAGGTAAGCTAGACTCTACCTCCAATTGCCTCCAAATCAAAAGGTATAGCCCGGTATAGCAAGCCCTGCATCCTAAACCCCTAAACCCTAAACCCCCAGACCCGAAATCTCTGCAATCTTTATCCGCCAAAACTATATCTCCAGTACTCCATAATCTGCTTGAGGTCCAAAGCAAGACAGAGCAGCCTCAGCTGGTCAATGCTGGTCATATTCCATCATACCCTCCCCAACCCTCAAGGGCTTCTATTTTCGCGTCATCTCCATGTCGGGAACGATCATATGTAGCAGAACTTGGGCAGCCTCGGCCTTTAGAACATGGCTGATATAGAGGCTGCTCTCATCTCTGAACGTGGTGCTCTTAGAGCAAAGGAGATGTCTCTGTTCTATCGCTTACATCGAAACAAAGTGGCCGGAGAGTGGTTCTCCGGGCAGGCGATGGATGCCAAGACCCGCCTTGCTTTAAGCCCGGCGGCCCGGCCTTCCTTAGAAGATAAAACGAGCGAAGAGTCCGAAGCTCACAGCTCCAGCCAACGCTCGAAGGTCACCAGACGTCGACCCATCCGGCAGCGTGTCCTGTCCAGTGCTGCTCATGCTTGCTGTTGTGCCAAACTGCTCCTCTGGGTTGGGATCCGCAACGTACATCATCTTCCGATTGGCCTCGGCACACGTGGTCAGGTCCGTGCGAGTGTAGTCGTCGCAGTAGAAGACCACCCCATAGCTGCGCCATGTGCCAGCGACTTCACCTGTAAAGTCAACCTGCGGTGTAATCGTCCCGCTCGTGAGGAGCACCGCGCTGGATGCAGCATCGGCTGAGTGAAGCATAACAGAACGAGCATTGGCCATGTTGGTGCCTGATTGGAAGCCACTCCGGCCATCAAGGAAGGGGACTTGCCCAATGTTTACGCTCGAGCCTGCCGTATTCCCAGTATAGGTTGCATACAGGCTTGCGTCGTTCAGCAAGTTGACGGCATTGAAGTAGGTCCACTTCCCAGTGGCGCCGCACATCTTCATGTCCGATGCAGAGATGGTGGCCGCGCTGAGCAGGGTGTCGTGGGCAGGGCAGGCTACAGGTCCTCGGTTGAGGCGAACAGTCATGGAAACCCTGTCGCAAGAGAGGTACCAAAAAAAGCACACATCAATCACACCTCACCTTCATGGGCGATTTCTGGTTGCTTCTCCTTGTTGCTTCTGAAAGTGACTAATTACAACGATAGGTATTTTTAAAGGTAACCTATATAGTTCTGATCATGAGCAGAGCCCAGGATCCATAGTTGTTTCCGTTGGAA